GCGGGCGACACGCGTGCGCTGTCCCGGTGGTGCCAGCAGTTTGGGGCTGGGGGAGGGCTCCACCGCTGCCCAGCTCGGGGGGCGAAGCTGGTCTGACCCAGACACGGGGGGGGAGAGCGTTTGCGGGGGGCGGCAGCAGGACGGGGACGGGGCCGGGCTGCTCCCCACACACCAGGCTCGCCGGCGCAGGGTGCTGGGGTGCAGGGGGTGGCAAAGCCTGGGGGTAACGTTTCCCCTCCTGGCCCCCAGACATCTGCATCTCCTGCGGGAGCCTCAACGTGACCCTGGAGCATCCTCTATTTATCGGAGGAATGTGCCAAAACTGCAAGGTACGGCGCGGCGCAGGCAGCCCTGGCGCCAGGCGAGTGGGCACGGCTGGGCCCCCCCAGACACCCTGTCCCGGGGGTCTCCCTGCCAGGCCCCTCTGCCAGGAGCTGCCCCGGTGCCCTCGCAGGGTGCCCGGCCTCGCAGCGGCGTCCCGGCCTCCCTGGCGCAGGGCTCGGGCCGTGCTGCGCTCACGCCTTGGCTCTTCCCCAGAACTGCTTCTTGGAGTGCGCGTACCAGTACGACGACGACGGCTACCAGTCCTACTGCACCATCTGCTGTGGTGGCCGTGAGGTGCTCATGTGCGGCAACAACAACTGCTGCAGGTCCGGGGCCGCCGTCCCGGCGTGGGGCTGGGAGGTTTCGGTGATACCACAGTCCCGGCGTGGGGCTGAGGAGGTTTCAGTGATGCCATGGTCCTGCTGTGGGTTGTCGGCGATGCCAGTCCTGGTGCAGGGCTGAGACATTTTGGTGATGCCACAGTCTCAGTATGGGACTGGGAGGTTTTGGTGGTGCCACAGTCCCGGTGTGGGGCTGGGGAGGTTTTGGTGATGCCCCAGTCCTGGTGTGGGGCTGGGGAGGTTTTGGTGATGCCCCAGTCCCAGCATGGTCCCGGCTTGGGGCTGGAGAGGTTTTGGTGATGCCCGAGTCCTGGCATGGGAATTTGGTGATGCCAGTCCTGGTTTGGGGCTGGGATGTTTTGGTGATGCCACAGTCTCCGTATGGGGCTGGGGAGGTTTTGGTAGCACCACAGTGCCAGTGTGGGGTTTTGGTGGTGCCCCAGTGCTGGCACAGGGCTGGGAGGTTTTGGTGATGCCACCGGTCCCGGCTGCGGGTCTTTGCATGGGGCTGGTGGAGGTTTGGGCAGTGCAGTGGGTCCCGGTGTAGGGTTGCCGGTCCCGGTGTCCCCCCCACCAGTGGCCTTGGAGGGGCAGGGCTGCAGCCTGGCCTTAGTCCCACTGGGGCCGTGCCGCGGGCCCGATCCCCCACCGCTGCTGCCGGGGGGCACCGGGCCCAGCCCTGCTGCTGACACCGGCTCCCGGCTCTCCCAGGTGCTTCTGTGTGGAGTGTGTGGACCTGCTGGTGGGCCCGGGGGCGGCCCAGGCGGCCATCAAGGAGGACCCCTGGAACTGCTACATGTGCGGCCATAAGGGCGTCTACGGGCTGCTGCGGCGGCGGGAGGACTGGCCCTCGCGCCTCCAGATGTTCTTCGCCAACAACCACGACCAGGAGTTTGTGAGTGCCCCTGCAGAAGGACCCCCCCTCCCCATCCGGGCTCCCCGCTGCCCCGCGGCTCCCCTCCCCCCCTGCCCGCGTCCCCCCTGCCCCGCGCTCCCCCCCC